GTCGCCTCATCTCCCTGAGTCTCAGTTTTCCCCTCTATTAAATACGGATGATGACTCACGGGCTTACTATGAGAGTTAAGTGAGTGGCTAGGGGTGAAGGAGCTGACTATGTGTAAGACATCAAATAATCCTCCCCACACTTTTTTTTTTTAATATATATATATATTTTTATTGTACTTCAGGTGAAGGCTTACAGAACAAATAGTCTCTCATGAAACGGTAGTACACATATTGGTTTATGACATTGGTTAACAACCCCACAACATGTCAACCCACTAACTTCTCAACCTTTTTCTTTGGTGAAAATACACATAGCCAAAGATACACCATTTCAAAAATTTCTACATGCACAATTCAGTGACATTGACTACACTCTTCCAGTTGTGCTGCTGTTCTCTCTTAAGATGAAGGCTTACAGAACAAAATAGTTTCTCATTTAACAGTTGCTACACATGTTGCCCTATGACAATGGTTAACAATCTCACAACACATCAACAATATCCTTACTCAACCTTGGGTTCCGTATCACCAGCTTCCTTGTCCCCTTCTGCCTTTTGGCCCTTGTCACTGTACTACTGTACCTCGTTAGTCCCATTTGGTTTTATGGGGCTGTCCATTCCCAGGCTGAATGGTGAACCTTGGAGATAACTTCACCATTGAGCTAAAAGGGTGTCAGGGGGCCATACTCTCGGGGTTTCTCCAGTCTCCTTTAGGCCAGTAAATCTGGTCTATTTTTTTTTTTTTTGTGAGTTAGAATTATGTTCTACATCCTTCTCCAGCTCTGTCCAGAACCCTCTGATATGATCCTGGTCAGAGCAGTCAGTGGTGGTAGCCGGGCACCATCTAGCTGTACTGGACTCAGTCCGGATCCCCACACTTTTTTAAAAATAATTTTATTTATTTTGTTGTTGTTGTTGAGAATATACACAGCAAAATATACCCAATCCAACAGTTTCTACGTGTACCATTTAGTGACACTGATTACATTCTTAGAGTTGTGTAACTATTCTCACTCTCCTTTTCTGATTTGTTCCTCCCCCATTAACATAAATTCACTGCCCTTTAAGGATCTTATCTAATCTTTCGAGTTGCTGGTATAGATTTGATCCCATACAGATAGTTCTTAAAAGAGTATAATGCTCAAGGCAGAACTGTTTTACTATAAGCTAAGTTATTGTTTGGTTTTAAGAAGACTTCATGGGATATTTTTGGATTAAGGTTTAAAGGTTATCTCAGGATAGTAGTTTCAGGGGTTCATTCAACCCTCGTGGCTATAGGGTGTCGGGCATCCATGAGAATTTGAAATTCTGTTCTGCATTTTCCCCTTTTGATCAGGATTCTTCTATGGAATCTTTGATCAAAATATTCAGTAATGGTAGCCAGGCACCATCCAGTTCTTCTGGTCTCATGGCAAAGGCGGCAGTTGTTCATGGAGGCAATTAGCCACACATTCCATGTCCTCCTCCTATTCTTACGTCTCCATAACACCCCCACTTCTGAGCAACCGTCCCTTTCCTTGGCAGCACCCAGTGATCTGCACACCAGCTACCTTGCTGTTTCTGCCTGTGCCCAAGCACCATCTACCTCACCCCAGCCCCCGCCAGCATCCTTGCCCTGTGGGGCCTTTACCCACCCTCCTGTCCTTTGCCGACAGAGTCCCACTTGGCTGGGCGCTCAAGTAGAGACAGTCCCACCCTCCAGCCCATCTCCCACATCAATATACTCTGGAGAGCATGCCAAGAGAAGATTCTTTATTTCTCGTTTTTCTTAAAAAAAAAAAAAGTATTCCTTCAGTATAAAAAATAAATATTTTCAATATGACATTGAATACATAAAAGTTGTCTGTCAATATGAAAATACCCTCAGATACATTCATGAAACAGGATATTTTCACAGAAGGCAAAGTCCTTTCTAGAAGAAAGAAAGGACAGGGAACATCTAAGGACAATGCCACGTGGTAGGTCGCACTGAGCTAGCAGTGTGCATGGGAATGAGGGCTGGGTCAAGGCAATGGGGGGATTGGAAATGATGCTCAGATAAGAACAGCTGTACCATTTAAAGGAGCCCAAGTGGCACAAGTAGTTTCCAGGGGCTGCTAACCCAAAGGTTGGCAGTTTGAACCTACCCAGCAGCTTCATGGAAGAAAGGCTTGGTGATTTGGTTCCATAAAGATTACAACCAAGAAAATCCTAGGGAGCAATTCTTCTCTGTAACACATGGGGTCACCATGAGTCAGAGGCCAGTTTGACAGCAGCTAACAACATTCCCCTAACTCAGCGACTTTCAACACTTGCTTCACACTAGAATAACCTGGAGAACAACAAACAAAAATAACACTAAAGCTTCGGCAAGCAGCCCTCTTGGTCCAAAGGTTGAGCGCTTCAACGCTAAACAAAATGTTGGTGGTTCGAACTCAGCCAGCGGCTACGCAGGAGAAAGAACTGGCAGTATGCTTCCATAAAGCTTACAGCCCATGTGGGAACTATGGTCTCAGGGAACACCTAGCTCAGTTGGCATGACATAGTTTATATAGAAAATGTCCTACATTCTATTTTGGTGAGTAGCATCTGGGGTTAAAAGCCTATGAGCAGCCATCTAAGATACTCCACTGGTCTCACCCCTTCGGGAGCAAGGAAGAATGAAGAAAACTAAAGATACAAGGGAAAGATTAGTCCAAAGGACTAATGGACCACATCCACCATGGCCTCCACCAGACTGAGTCCAGTACAACTAGACGGTGCCCAGCTACCACCACTGACTGCTCTAACAGGGATCATAATAGAGGGTCCCAGACAGAGCTGCAGAGAAACGTAGAACAAAATTCTAACTCACAAAAAAAAGACCAGACTTACTGGCCTGACAAAGAATGGAGAAACCCTGAGAGTATGGCCCCTGGACACCCTTTTAGGTTCACCCTTCAGCCACAGATTCGACAGCCCCGTAAAACAAAATGAGACTAAAGGGGCACACCAGCCCAGGGGCAAGGACTAGAAGACAGGAGGGGACAAAATGCTGATAATAGGGAACCCAAAGTCGAGAAGGGGGAGTGTTGACATGTCGTGGGGTTTGTAACCAATGTCATAAAACAATATGTGTACTAACTTTTTAATGAGAACCGAGTTTGTTCTGTAAAACTTCAGCTAAAGTACAATTAAAAAAAAAAAGATTACAATCAAGAAAACCCTATGCAGCAGTTCTAGTCTGTCACATGGGCTTGCTATGAAATTGATTTAACTTGATGGCACCTAAGAACAAGAACAAAGCTTGGACTCCACACAGGACCATTAAATCAGAACCCCTGTGCCTTTTGAGAGGAAATCACTACCTCTCTCAGTTCCAGGGCCCCAGCCCCACACACTGTATCTATTGCAGAGGGCCAGCCAAGCAGAGCTGGACTGCCTCTCTCAGGGGAGAACTGCCCCAGTAGAAGCCACGGGAGACGAGGGGGAGGAGGCAGGAGGAGAGATAAGAAAGAAAGATTTTTTGGTGATTTTTTTTTTTTTTAATATATGACTGTCCTACCCCCTCCTCTGCTGAGCCCACCTCCCCCCACCCCGCTCCTTAAAATCATCTCTGGTCCAAGCACATGACCCAGGATGCCAGGAGTAGGTCAACGCCAGCAGAAGAAAATGAGAAAAGAACAGTTTTTTCACACAAAAGCTCAAAAATTCAGGATGCTGTGTTCAGGGGATGCTAATATGCTAGGCTAGTTCTAGAAAGAGCGCTGTGGACAGGGACCAAGGCACAGAACTGGGGCTGGCATGGAAGTGGGGGTGGGCAGTGAGAGACAGTTGAGGGGCTGGGGGTGGGTTGGCCTGGAAGTGGGGGTGGGCAGTGAGACAGTCGAGGGGCCGGGGGTGGGTTGGGAAGGAAGGCTGCCCAGATGTGGGCAGCACAGATGTTTCCTCAAGGTGCTGAGATGATGGGAGACCAGCAGGCCCAGGGCTCTGGAGTCACCAGTTCTGGCTTTCTGATGAGATTGGCTGTCTTGTAGCTGTCCACAGAGCAGAGAGATGGGAAGGGTAGCAGGCCAAGATCTGGGACAAAGGTGAGTGTGACCCATGAGCTCTGAGCTGAGTCTCCACATCCTAGTCTTGCCATGGAGACAGGTTACTCCTGGCCTGGGTCCAGCCTCCGGGCTTGCTTGCTGCCTGCCTGCCTGGCAGCTAGTGGGGCTGGATAAAGTGCTCAGAGAAGGAGAGAGAAAGGGGCAAAGTGAATGCAAATCATCATAACCTAGTGGGCTGAACTGCTAGGACCACTGCCACCTGCTCGGGGTTTGAGAAGACCAAATCGCTCCTCTCAGCAGCTGCCCCAGATTCTAGACTGGAGGCTGTTTCTAGACTTGCCTGGCCCTCAGCACAAAGGAAAGGATTGGGTTCCTTGCTTCAGAGCTCAGAACCAGGTGAGGGAGTTTGGGAGCTGGGGCAGCAGGGAACCATAGACTCCTGTTCTGAGTGAAGGTGCATGGGGTAATGCCCCCCTCTCCAGAGCAGGAGCTGTGGCTCCCTCCCCGCCACCTCCCATAGCTCCAGCTTCCTAAGTTCTCCTCAGCGTGGTCCTCAAGTCCTCCCTGGTGTTTGGGACACTCAAGAAGGAGCTTCCTGCTGTGCAGGAGCATCTTCAGGGGGAGGGTGCTGGGTAAGGACCATTCCAGGGCCCCTTAACTGCTCTCTCGCCCTTGTTTGCTCAAGGTCTAAAACCACGCCAATCACTCGACTCGCCAGCCTGACACCTTGAAGCTTGGCTGCCATTTTCCACAGGAAGGGACACCACATTCTAATTGGTGCAGTATCGAGGCCATGCCTGAGGAAGTTTTGACCTTGTTTGGCTACCTCCCAGCCCACCCTCAGTGGAGCGGACTGGCAGGGAGCCCCACGTTTCTGCCAGCAGCCCCACTTGCTCTTAGTGATGACCCTGTGCCACACTGTGAGAGCCCTCTACCTCTAGATCCTGCTCCCACGATCCCTTAATTCGCAGCACACTTCAAGATCCTGTGCCTAGAAGGCCTGGGCCAGCTCGGCGATGACCTGCTTGTATTTAAACAGGAGCTGACAGCCCAGCCTCTTCTTCTGGAAGACGTCCTCCTCCGAGGTGTTGAGGCCGTTGATCATGTCGGTCAGTCTCACGTTGTAGTTGTCGCACAGGCGGCAGAGCACATTGCTGAGAAGCCCCCAAACGGTGTCCGCCGTGGAGTCTAGCTTGCTGTGGAGTTTCTGATCGTTGGGGTTGAGGGTCTTCTGGCACTGCATGACGTCATCCAGGAAGAGGTAAAAGTAGGCCATGACGCGGTACAGCTCCATCAGCTTGTCTTTCTCAGCGCCATTGGCATGGAAGGGTGGGAAGCTCATAAAGTCTTCGCCGCACAGCCTGTCCACATACTTGGGGAGGGGCTCGCCCTGGGCCATGTAGTCAGGAGCAGAGGGCAGAGGGGAGGTGAGCAAGGAGGCAGGGATCCGTGTTTCAGCACTGCCACTCACTCTTGCAGCAAGCTATTGTGCCTCAGTTTCCCTGCTTATAGCATGGAGACCCAACTCCGTGCCCTGTAGGCGTCTCAAGATGGTCATGAGAGGCAGATGGAAATCTGGGTGTGAATGCACTTGGTAAAGAATCAAGGCCTCTACCATTTAAGGATTGTTATTTTACTTGTTATTAGTATTAGGAGTCCCTGGGTGGTGGAAACGGTTAACGCTCTCAGCTGCTAATTGAAAGGCTGGAGGTCTGAGTCCACCCAGAGGTGCCTCAAAAGAAAACTTTGGTGATCTACTTGCAAAAAATCAACGATTGCAAAACCTATGGAGTACAGTTCAACTCTGACACACATGGGGTTGCCATGAGTCAGAATGGACTGGTGGCAACTACTTTTGATTTGTTTTTAATTATGGTGATCATATGGAGAAAGAAAGAAAACTGGGGTGCCTCACCTTCAGAGGTGTGTCACACACTTGCCCTTTCACCCACCTGGGCATCTCTCTGCATCCAGACACCCTCCGCCCACCATCTCGCTCAATGTCACCTCTCTGAATACCTCCCCGATTTTTCCCTCCTTTGTGCATTTCCATCTGCCTCCAGCTCTACTGTGATGGAGGAA